AGTAAAAACAGAATGTACAGCAACACAGAGCAGAAAAAGTACTTATCTGTCTGAGGAAGCAGCAAAGAAAGAGGGGGATTGTGGGAGACACAAGACTTATATAGCTACTTCCTATATCCTGTGATTGGCTACCTGTTGTGCCTATACAGTTTTTTTCTTCAGTTTTGATAATATTTATATTTCTCTTTCTTTGCTGCTGAGGAAATAAAGAAAGAGTTATGCATAATATGAGCCTCCGTGTCTTTAATAAAATCCTGATTTTGTAACACTAGGTAAAATACAATGCTTTCCTGCTGAAGGACTCCTTTTGTGTGACTTCTTCTTAGTAATAAATAACAAACCCTGCTGCAATGACCCTGATAGTTGCCTGTTCTTGCCATTCTGATGGTCTGCTATTCTAACATATTCTGAGATATTGTGCTATAACTGAAGCCTATGTGTCATATAATATGATCTACTGATATTTATTTACACAAAGCTCAAATAACAGACATATTTTGATTGAACAATAGACACAGGGAGGTTAAACCACAATCCATACTCATCTGGCCAAGCAACATATAAATAGAGTCCAATAAAACAAGTGAAATGTCAAATATACATTAAATTCACTGGATATCGCATATCAAAATAGGGGATCTGTTGTAAAGGTTCTGAAACTTGAGCTAAATTGCTATTTATGATGTGAGGAGTGTTATAAGTGGTTTGTACATGGTTTTCAATTTTTCTTAAATATATTATTCTCAAATTGATTTGCAGTTATGAAACATTGAGCCATAATAGAAATTAGTCTATTAGGGACTTCAATGTGCTTTGTAGAGCTAGAGCGCATAACCCTAAGATACAGACATATAGACCCATATAATCCTAAACTCATATCCTACTTGATATATAAAATTACAAAGCGAGTGAATAAATGGCGCTTCGGGTAATATACTATACAGAATTAAAGATAAATACAGTTGCAAGAAAAAGTATGTGAACCCTTTGGAATGATATGGAATTCTGCACAAATTGGTCATAAAATGTGATCTGATCATCATCTAAGTCACAACAATAGACAATCACAGTCTGCTTAAACTAATATATACTAATATTAAGGGAATGATGACAGGAATCTAACCCTAACCCTAGCCCTAACCCCGCGGTTAGGGCTAGGGTTAGGGTTAGATTCCTGTCATCATTCCCTTAATTTCCCCTACCTCTCCTGTTTTTCCACTTTTCAGAAATCTGAAGCACTTCCGAAATTCAGTACTTCGGCAATTCAATTCAGTGCTTTTGAAATTCAGTACCTTGGCAATTCGGTTCACTACTTCTGAAATTCGGCCCTTCCGAAATTCGGCACTTCGGACATTCGGAAGCATCTGAATGTATGAATTGCCGAAATTCATCCGAATTTAAATTCGGACTGAAACGAATTGCACATGTCTAGTATATTATCCAACCAGGGTTTATAGTGTCCACTGTCATATCTCACATAGCTATTTGCATCGACTTTTTAAAAATAAATATTTTTTTAGTACGATCATCTTCAATATAAATATCCAAATTTAAAAAGTTGATGCTAGTAGAACTAAAAACAGTGGTTAAAAAATTTGCTCCAATAGTTCTTTTTTTTTTATATTCTTTATTTTTACTGTGCGATTAATAACAATCAAGCCCTTGGAGCCACGACAGCAGTCCAAGGCAAAACATTTATATACATTTTCAGCGTGGCTAACAATAATTCTGCACATTTTAGTAAGATAAGTTAGATGTCATTTGGTCAAATAGGGCATGAAGTACATAGCCAAAAGTGCATTGTGTGTCTGATGATTCAGGTATGCCGCTAGTGTTATGTGACACGGGTTATGACAATATCTGTAAGGCAACATCTTTAAACGCTGTGGGTGTGTGTGATGTCAAGATAGCTAGACTCTTGTTGCTTAGCCACAGGTGTGGATTCACGAATAGGATATAAGTCTCGTTGTTATTCTACGAGGTCTGTACTGCCAGTGTTTTCTAGTATCGCTGTAGTTGTCACTGGGGCCATGAGCTTGAAGCCCGGCTAATGGGCTGCCTGTGTCGGTTATAGAAGCGGGTCTATCGGGCCTGGGGGGTGTTAGTGCGCGGTCGGTTGGCCGCTCTACGGAAGTGTGCGCACGCTGCCGTGTCTAGGGTGAAGCCTAGTGTGTGAGAACAATGAAAAACAGAAGTATACAATTATAAAAAAATTATAAAAATAAGTAAAAATAAAACATGTAAAGGCTAGTGGTAGCTCAGGGTAACTGTGTGTGGGGTACACCGTAACATAAATGAGAGTTCAAGTGGTGAGCGTTGCGGCTCCGGTCAATGGGGGCTTCCGCAGGACGAACACAGTCACTTTCTCCGGGTCCCAGCGCTGGGGTGCGGGATCGGGTCTCTGCAGTCCAGCTGGTGGTAGCAGGTCCTGTGTGAGTCCCAGTGTGTGCAACAGGGTCTGTGCCTCAGTGATGTCGCGGACTGCGTGCTGGGTTTCTCTGTGTCGGATTATCAGTGTGCGTGACAGCCTCCATTGATACTGGATGTTCTTCTGCCTAAGTAGGGTGGTGAGCGGTTGGAGGGATCTCCGCCACGCCAGAGTGCTTCCCGAGAGGTCTGGATAAAAGGTGAGTTGCATTCCTTCAAAGTTGTAAGAGTCCCGGTTTTTGAGGGCCATGAGCATTGTTGCCTTGTCCTTGCCATTGCGAAACCGGACAATTAGATCCCTCGGGGCGGCTGCTGGGGCTTTCGGGTGCTTTTGGTATGCATAGTCATGGATTTGGCCTGTCTTGGGGATAGCAATGCTACCGTGAGGCGCCTCACTATGTGTGGTAGTTCCTCTGTGGGTATAGCCTCCGGGATGCCTCTAATTTTTAAATTGTTTTTGCGCCGCATGTCCTCCTGCATCGCAAATTTGGCATCATACGCTGCGTTCTGTTTCTGGAGCCCCAGGATTGTGCGCTGCAAGGAGGCAATTTGTTGTGTATGCTCCCCTGTAGTGGCTTCCACGGCTCCGATCCGGTCTGTCAGGCCCTGGAGGTCTGCGCGTAGGTTTGCCATGTCTGCCAGGATATTGTGTTGTAGGTCCGCTAGCAGGTTTTTCAGCACCGCTGTTGTTACTGGTTCTTTGTCTGGGCTGACCGGTTTGGTCGTTGGTGCCGGTCTAATCGGCATGTCGTCTTCTTCGTCCTCCAGGGACGGTTCTTCAGACAGGTCTGAATAGGCCTCAGGGTAGTCGGCCATTTTGGGCCCGCTGGCCTGTTGTGCCTGCCTTAGGAGCACTCCGATATCATGACTTAGTCTGGGTTTATCAGGCTTTATCTTTTTGGTTTTTCGACCCATGTTGTAGTGTGGGTCTACCGCCTGACTCTACCGTCGTCTCGGTCCAGCGATATTGCAGGTAAAGTGCGTGAATTGCTCGGTGTGTCTCGGAGCTCTGAGACCGTGCGGCCATGCAGTTCAGTCGCTTAGCCACGCCCCCTGCTCCAATAGTTCTTATTAAGTTTTTCTAAAAAGTTCTAAATTCTCTTTTGAGCCATTCCAAATGAAAATCAGATCATCTATGTATATGTGGTATGAGACCAGGTTTGCCTCCCATTCTTGGCTATTATAAATAAATGTATCTTCCCATCCTGTCATAAATAAATTAGCATAACTGGGGCAAACCTGGTCCCCATAGCTGCACCTTGACACTGTAAATAAAATTTGGAATTAAACATAAAATAATTATTATTTAAAATCCACTGTATATTTTATATTAAAAAATCAACATGTATTTCTGAGAAATTTCTAGATTTGAGTAAAACTTATTTTACTACTTTACATCCCAGAGTATATGGCATTGAAGTATATAGTGATGATACATCACATGTGACCAAGATATAGGAATCTTCCAATTTGATAGTTTTAATAATTTTTACAATATCCACGGTATCTTTCAGGTATGAAGGTATCTTTTTAACCACGTCCTGTAACCAAAAGTCTACATACTGTGAAAGATTGGGCCTTCCTGGGGGACATGTCTTATTTTTGTAAACTGTAGGCATGGTATAAAAGGTGGATAATCTGGGAAATTCTTTATGTAAAAATGTATATTCTTCCTCATTTAAAATACCCACATCTTTCCCTTTATCTAAAAGTGCATAAAGGGAAATTTGAATTTCTTGAGTAGGATCCTTATCTAAAATCTTACATACTTTATCATAATTTATTTGTCTGCTTCTCCCAACCAACTAATTCCTCTTTCTTTGCTGCTCTGCAGACAGTACAGGTCAGAGTACCACTGCCTCCTGTTTTATATGGGTGGTTGTGGGATATATACTTTTACTTGTATTTGATCTTATGATTTGTTTTTAAGATTTGATTAGATTGTATGATTTAGTTTTCATGATTTGATTTCAGGATTTGATTGTATGACTTGCTTTTAGGATTTGATTTTAGGATTTGAGGTTAATGATTTAATAGTATGATTTAAATTCCATGATTTGATTGTATGATTTGATTTTCATGATTTGATAGTGTGTGTTGATTATGGAATTTATTTTATAAGGTGAAGTAATCTATTGTGCCCTTTGCGGGTGTTTTCTACTTGCCTGCTCTTTCTACCTCCCCCCCCCTTTTTCTGTGGGGTCTGTATGGGTGCCTTCCTCCACCGTTCTCCCTCTATTTTTCCCTGCTCTCCTTGCGGGCATTTTACCTTCATTTTCTTTCGGTTCTTTCTGGCTTCCTTCTGTTTTCTTCCTGTTGTCTTTCTGTTTTCCTAAGCGGACGGCTGGGAGCGGTTCAGTACCGCCTCCTGTCCTGCCCAGCCGCCGGGACCCCGGAGAATGACTCAGGCGGTCCTACGTGGGTATCTCGTGCGCCGCTCTCACGGCGCGCGGGAACTGCCCCTCCGCCTGCCCCTCCCACGCTCCCCATACCACTGGGAAGCAGTTATCTTTCGCGGCGTGGGAGGGATGCCCGCCCACGTGGGAGCGATGGCTCCCGACCACGTGGGAGCGATGGCTCCCGACCTCGTTTGTCCTCCCCACACCGCAGGGCCCTCGGTCCGGGCGCCGGTGAGGCGGCAGGTTGTAAGAGTTTGCCTTTTGGAAATTCTAATGTCACTACTATAAATACATTTCTGGAGTGTTAGGTTCAAGCACTTTCTCTGTTTTCCTATGGAAAGCTGTTTCTTTCACTCTCTGTTACAGAAGAGTTGGTTACAGTTCACATAGAGTGTTAGGCACTATTCATCTGAAGAGCATTATCTACACAGTAGAATGCTATGTACAACTACACAGTAGAATGTTGTGTACAGTTACACAAAAGAATGCTATGTACAGTTGCACAGCAGAATGCTATATACAGTTGCACAGAAGCATGCTATGTACAGTTACACAGAAGCATGCTATGTACAGTTACACAGAAGCATGCTATGTGCAGTTACACAGTAGAATGCTATGTGCAGTTACGCAGTAGTATGCTGGGTATAATCACACAGAAGAATGCTGGGTACAGTTACACAGAAGAAGGTTATGTACAGTTACACAGAAGAATGCTTTGTACAGTTACACAGAAGAAGGCTATGTACATTTAAACAGAAGAATGTTATGTACGGTTACACAGCAGAATGCTATGTACAATTACACTGTAGAATGTTATGTACGGTCACACAGAAGAATGCTATGTACAATTGCACAGAAGAGCGTTATGTACAGCTATGCAGAAGAATGTTATGTACAGTTACACAGAAGAATGTTATGTACAGTTACACAGACGCATGTTCTGTTCAGCTACACGGAAGAGCGTTACGTGCAGTTACACAGAAGAATGTTATGTACAGTGACACTGAAGAGCGTTATGTACAGTTACACTGAAAAGTGTTAACTACAGTTACACAGGAAAGTGTTATGTGCCATTAATCTGAAGAAGTGTTAGGTACATCTTCTCCGAAGAGTGAATTGTACAATTAATCAGAAGAATGGAAGGGCACCCCCGTAGGGCCTGACTTGTCTGTGCCCCAGGATTTGTCCGGCTTTGTCTGAGCCGTACTGATTAGCCTGCCTTGTCTGTGCCCCATTGATTGGCCTGCTTTGTCTGTGCCCCACTGATTGGCCTGCTTTGTCTGTGCCCCATTGATCTGGCCTGCGTTGTCTGTGCCAGAATATCTGCATGCCAAGCCTTGCGACTACATACTCATGCTTGGACATTGCATGCGCTGCCAAATTTGCCTCAGTCACTAGATGGGGTGCTGCCCCGATGTTGCTGCCAGTGACACTTGTGCGTTATACCCCTAGAGGTCGCCTTGCCTAGGACTGCTCCACGGTCAACCCGTGGACAGACGACTTGAATGAGTCAGACTCTCCAAGAGGAGAGCAGGCAAGTGCGCACAAGCGCTACTGGAGAGGTGAAGGCCCTAAACCAGGCGCCCGGACAGATTACACTGCGGAGAAGCGTCTAACCCCGATACGATCTGCCTAGGCGGCCAGACTACACTGCCTAGGTGGCGCAGGGGTGATAGTCCTCGTGACCCCACCCCCACCACGGCCGCCCTTGCTGAATGGCGGGTGAACCGGTCCCTCTTGGAAGGAGAGGACGATGGGGAGTGGACTATGATGATGCCTCCAAGTGGCACCGTGGGACGGAGAACAAGTCCACTACAGGAGCTCCAACGACTGTGGAAGAAGAGGTCATCTCTTGGGTCGCCTTAAATGAACCCCTGTGCGACCCTCGACCAATTGTTTATTTCTTCGGAAGGGTCTCTGCCCGGGCACCTAGCACCATCGGTGCGTTGCTGGGACCATAGATCGCTGACTTGAGAAGCCCGCAAGATACTTGGAGTGGTATACCCAGCCAGGCTCCCGAACAAAGTAGCCTCGTACCCAGACTTAGACCCCGATGGGGCACTACGGCTCTCCTTGTGGCAACGCCTGTCTAGTATACAGGAGATCCGGAGTACAGCCCACTGCAGTGCCTATACTCTACTTTTCAGTCCGCCAAGGGTTCTCCCCCACATGAGTGGGTTGTCCTACGGGACATACGGGGTCCCAGTTATTTGGGTCCCAGAATATTAGGTCCCAGTTTTTCATATGAAAAAACGTTACGGAGACATATCTAAAGCTCCAACCTGTACCTGTTACAAGGGATTGGACCCTGGGCCCAGAATGTCACAGTTGCCTCCACCTTCGAATGACATAACAGACAGGACCCCGAACCTGGGGATTGCAGGAGACCCTATGTTAGTTAATTCGGACCGCTGGAGGTGCTTGGGATCAAGGGATCTGAGGCCTTTGGAGCCCGCATGAGACTATGCATTAGTTACTTTGAATTAAACGCGGTCCTCAGGGAACTTCCAGGACCGCGGGGCATTCCTGGTAAGGCGGGCTCAAGTTTCTCCCTGGCGAGATAAGGATCTGGGGCGTCATTCATTTGGAAAATAATACAGCCTGGCTGACAGGTTTGGATGCATTTAGGACGTTTGGGGATACCAGAACTATCCAAAGAGATCTTTCTCCACGAGGACTTTTTTCGCGGGACGGTCTACCCGGACGGGCTGGCTGGATCCTCGGCGAGTTGCCCCCAGACCGAAGGGACAGACGCTATCTGCATTTTCCTTGTTTGGGTCCCTCGAGTTCGTGTTCAAACGAGGAATATTGACTCCCTCTGCGGCTCGAGGTGTAGAGTCCTGGAGGGGGTACCTCTATGTTTTCTCCCTTTCCGAGTTTCTCATACGATTGGAATAGTTTTCCGGGAAGACCCGGCGTCAAGACCCATTAAGCCCTGTCCAGTTTCAGCCGGCATACAGACCGGCCAAGTCGAGACTAGTGCCCGGATTCCCTGGACCTGTCCCACTTGATCTCGGGGACCGTAAGACGTTTGCCTGCATGGCGACCCTGACGGAGTTGGGTCTGGTACGGATTAACAGACATTTTGCAAACAATGTTACAGGGTTCGATTATTGTTTGGTCGTTTTATTGACCGAGGACTGTCGTATCACTTAACTGTTTTCGGCGGGCCTCGCTCTGTTGG